AAAACCGAAGGGAAAAAAATAAACTAACCAAAAATAAATAAAGGAAAATGCTGAACAAAGCGCACCGATGGCCGAAAAATGGAAATGAGTATGAACAAAGCGCACTAAAAGTGTATCGAGGAATAAAAAGAAAGAAAGAAAGAACTTCCGAAAAGAGGCGGCAGGCAGGGTAATAAAATTGGGAAGTTGGTGGGAAGGGAGTTATTTGTGGAAGTTCTTTTTAGGTATTTTCACCTGCGTTGAGGAGGAATTTTTTACCATCAGATGAAATTTAATTCAGGAAAATCTGTTGATTTACAGGGATTTGAGAAGCTGGAAAAAGGGTTCTAGAGTTTGGAAATTCTTATAAATTAGTTTATATTTTTATATCAATTTTATTATGAGAAAAATCTAGTTGAGTTAAGAAATTACTTGTATAAATAAGTATTAAGTATTTGAAACGATTATTAAATTATTCAAAATATTTTTGTATAATTATTTGTGTTCTTTTTCTTTCAACAACATTTTTTATATTTGTGTTTAATCTACATTTTATTTCAATATTATTTTATATATTTATATATATTTATATTTATATTTGTATTTATTTATATTTATATATATTTATATTTATATATATTTATATTTATATATATTTATATTTATATATATTTATATTTATATTTATATATATTTATATTTGTATATATTATATTTATATATTTAATTTATATATATTTATATTTTATTAGAAATATAAATTGTATACATATAATTGACCAAATATAATAAAAGAATTCTAAATAACATACAAATCAATATGAAGTCTTAAAGTATTAATAAAAATAATACATTAAAGAAACTATAATTACAATTTATTAATATGTTAAATATAATGGAATTATTTATGTTGAAGTATATTATTTCCCTAAAAATATTACAAAATATAATATAATAATAAAACATCAAAGACGCTATAATTAATTGATGGTATTACATACATTAAACCCTTAAAAGACACCCAATAAAAAGTGTACAAGACAATTATAAAATTACATAGAAACCCCTTAAGATTTAAGATCCAAAGTTAATGTAATCCCAGCTTTATCCAATTCTCCAACAAACCATTGACTCCAAAAAGGCGATCATTTCACTCTGTTTTTTTATGTTTTTCTGTATTCAGTGTTCAGTTTTCTGTTTTCAGTCACTGGTGTTCCGCAGAACGGTCAGCTAATCGGATTTCCCAATGTAATTTCTGCTTTTGCGATTGTTGTTCTTTAGGTTCTTTTTTTTTGCCGGCTTCCTCTTCGGTTAAGCTTACACTTTGTCGCTATTTTGTAGTTCTTAACGCCTTGGGGGCAACAGTAGCGCAAATAGCAACAATAATAATAGCATTAACATCGGCATTAGCATTGGGCCCGCGCTTGTCATGGGCAAAGAATCGCAGACGGGCGATAGAAGTGCACTGGGAAAAATTTGAGAGTATAGAGAATGGGTATTACAGTTTTAGTCAGAAGCTTCTAACAATGTGAAGGAATCATTTCCGACCCTATATGTCATATATATTCTTGATCAGCGTCAACAGGCGAATCTTTCTAGACATCTTTGGCAGAAAAATAAATTTTCGAAAAATTTTCAACATTTTTAAGGGGTTATTTCATGAAAACTGAATTAAAAAAATTGATAAAAATTTAAATTCTTTATAATTTAAAATTTTGTATGCCAATTTGTTAGCCGAATCAAAACTAGCTCAGAACTGCTTTCCGAATTAAAATTAATGCATTTTTGGCTTAGTTATGAGATTTGTACATTTTGATTAGTCAATAAAATTAGCATATAAATATATAGTTAATATCGATTAAAACATGGTAATGGACCTTCAGTCAGAAGCTTAAAACAATGTGAAGGAATCATTTGCGACCCTACATGTCATATATATTCTTGATCAGCATCAACAGGCGAGTCGATTTAGCCATATCCGATAGAAAATAAATTTTAAAAATTTTTTCAACATTTTTTAAGGACTTTCATCGTTAAATTGTCAAAATTTAGACAAAAAATTTAATTTAAAAAAATTTTTAACTGAGTATGTAGATTTATAAACTTACTCAAAACTATCACAGAACTGCTTTCCGAATGAAAATTAACACATTTTGTCTTAGTTATAAGATTTTAAAATTTTGATTTATCGATAAAATTGTCATATAAAAATATCGATAAATATTGAGAATTTTTAGGCTTAGTTATGATCTATTTCTGTTACTATCCCATAATTTAATTGCTAACCGCAGAGATATATAAGCTTTGGCTTTCAGAAGTCAGTTTCCTTGCTTGTTTCATATTTATTTAAGGCTTAAAATATTGTTTTTTTTTGTATTATTTTGTGTAAATATTTTTTTTTTCGGTGCATTAGCGACAAGTGTAATGGACACGCTCGGTTCCCATCCACATCACGATGAACTTGAAGTTTCGCACTCGCTTGATTGAGCTGTTCTTCATCTTGCACTCTGTGCTGGTCAGCTGGCATGGCTCAGCAGATCGCACAGCAGATCGGTCTAGCTGTACTTTATATATAACGATTCGACCATGGGAACAGCCAGATCTTCATCATCGTCATAGTCATACCCATACCCATCCCAACCCCATCCCCAACATCTTCTCCTTCAACATAAACATCATCTTCCTCATCATCTGCAGCATTTGCTGGCAATGTGACAGACAGCATCCATTACCCTAACGATAATTGGCCCAGGCTACAAATTCCCAGAGAGTCCATTCAATAGATTATAATCTGGAAAAAGCCACCAAAAATAGATATATAATATATATTATAATATAATAATTGCTCACTGGTCTCAGGTTGTCTAATAGCAAAACATGTGCTTAGCAATTGAGAGTTTGAAATATTTACAAGATAAAAGTAACTGAAATTGGTAGATTAATTAAATGTTAAATCAAGGAACAATACATTATTTTTAGTGTAAAAATAATACAATAATAATATACTGATATACTAATATAATAAATATAATAATATAATATAATATAAATATATAATATAATATAATATAATAAATAATATAATATAATATAATATAATAAATAATATAATATAATATAATATAATATAATATAATATAATATAATATAATATAATATAATATAATAATATTATAATATAATATATATCTTCAATTAAAGTAAAATATTTCTTTAGGGTTTCTTCCTAAAAATATAAAGTAAAGGTTATTTGGGGCTCTTAAGTAGAAAGTTTTTAAGATAAAATATAAAATAAACATGGCCAGTTAATTTTAACAATTTTAATATAGTTACAATTTATATATTTTGAATTTTATATTTATATACAAAAGTTAGGAAAATCCCTTAACCTTTTTACACTTTTTAACAATATTTATAACACATTCAATTATATTTCTAAATTAAATTGATTAAAAAGTAAACAAGTAATACTTAATGTATTTATGTTGCCAAAAGGTTATAGTTATCCATGAAGTTACTTTAATTTGTAATATATTTAAAATTTCTTTTACTTTCAAGCTTTGACTTTATATTAATTTTTTTTTATGTTTCCATGTAAGTTCTTATAAAAAAAATTAACACTACATTATCAACTGACAGTTATTTCTTTGGAATTATAAATTAAATTATTTAAATTTCTCGCACATTTTGGGCCCTAATACTTATTTGTTTAATTAAAGAGTATTTGCTAGCACCCAACTCTCTTTAGTTACTAATTGTTCATTGTTTTTGTGTTGCACTGTGACAGTGACGTAATCCCAGAGGCAACCACAAATAACAACAAATAAAAAAAGAGCAAGTACAGTACTGAGCATTGTCGAGTTGTTGTTGTTATTTTTTTGTTGTACATTTTGTGTGTTAAGTTTCTTATTCTTTAGCTAGTTTTTTTATTCTCCTTTTTTTTTTGTTTAATTTCGGTTTGTGTTTTGTTTGACGGGCGACTCGGACAAATGACTTCCGTTGTGGCTGGCTACGCTCTCATAATAAACCCGAGATAAAGTAAAGCCTCCAGAGAGACACACACTGCGTATGAGCAATAAAAATAAACATATACAAATATATATAAACCGATTTTGGTTTTTCAAGTTCGATTTTAAGGCTTTCCCATCGTTTGGCTGCACCTGTTCTAACACCTTTTCATCTTGTTGTCTTTTTGCCATAAAGATAAATCCCCAAATGATTTTCCTAAGGATCGAAGATTTGTATTCGGTTTCTGGCTTTAGTTTTTATGAGAGACATCATTCTAGCGGTTCCCTAATGTCACTTTGATGAGTTCTTCATATTATATTTTTCTTTTTATTGATTTATGTAGATTTGTTTGATTTCTTTGGAGTGTATTTTTTCTTTTTGGGGGGACAGCTTCCCAAGCTGTCGTCGCGTCTCATTAGACTGTGATTTAAGCCTATTTAAGCCACTTTAACTCCACTCAGCACTTTGGACTATAAAAAAAACAAAATAATAATAATAATGGCTCCACCGTTCGTCCGTTGATGGTTTTTCATTGAAAAGTTTTCACTTCCTCGAGGTGAATGGGTTGGGTTAAAGGCTTATTTGATTGATTTCCGTTCAAATGATGAACCCAAAAAAAAAGAAAATAACAAGATAAAAATGGGAAAACATGTGTGTGAGAAAATCAGATTAAATAGGTTTCAATAGTTTATAGGGAATATATAGGTTTAGAGAGCTTAAAGTGATACGTTTTTATATTTTAGACTTTAAGTAGAAATATTAAAACATTTTTGGTTTATTTATTATTGTTTTTATTATTATTATTTATTATTATTATTTATTATTTCATTTATTCTTTTATTTATTATTTTATGTATTATTTTATTTATTATTATTATTTATCATATTATTATACTCCAAAGTTTGTTTCCTAACTAAATATTATACATTTTCTTATAACATTAAATATTTGTTTTGTTTAGAAACTTTATTAATAGTTTCCTTTTCTTTTCCTTTTCTTGATCCATCAACAGGTCAGTATTAATATAATAACCATTAAATGTTATCTATTATTGACGAAGCTGACAAAGTTGGGGCGTGATGAGAAAAATACAGGTAAGTCTTCACGGTTTTTCTCTTATTTTGATATATAAACCGAGATTAGTTGTTGGTTGATCATTAAAAAAAGAAGAAAATATATAGCCCCTGGGCTGATGTACGACAATAAATGTCCCAAAGCAATGAAACATGTTTAATGAATGAGCTGCATGAGAAAAGCACTTGGAGAAAAATTATAGTAAATATTGTTAGCTAAAAAGAAAAGGTTTAAAATTTAAGAAATTATACAAAGAATTTATAGTTTAGGTAAGAGTTTTTAGATCTAAATGTTTTTGGTTTGAGTTCTTTTTCTCATAGCGAATATAAGAGTTCATTGTAAAAATAATTAAAAAGATTAATTTATAATATAGTTTTTGATTTTTGTATATTATTTTAATTAAAACATTTGTGCTTATCCTTTATGCAGTTTTTTGTGATTTAAACAATATATTTTTATATATATTAAAACCATTATAAAACTGAAGTCCTTTTAAAGGTGTGATACTGTTAATTATTGAGTGAAGTTATGGGTTTTTTTTAGGTAAATCTGCAGCTTAAAAATCTAAGGAAAATTACAAGAATTTAGGTTAGTATTTAAGTTTCTTTATTAATTAAAAAATGTGTACAAAATTGTAGAAACTTTATAGAAACATTATCTTGAAAGCCAAGTTCCATATGACCTTGTTAGCTATTTGATTAAATAGTCTAATTATTATCCGAAGAAAGTTAAAGTTTAGACCTATATACATATATTTCCAAGTGTATTTTGACTTTTTTTTTTGGGTGGGGTGTGTCTCTTTCTGGCTGTTTGTTTCTTTGTTCTTTAGTTTTCTACAAATCCCTAGGGCTTGTGCAGGTGCATTTGTGATAAGACTTGTGGCAAACAGAGTCGGCCTGGGTACGGTTGGCTTATTGCCGTTCTGATTGTTGTATAATTCTCTTTATACAGTCCAGTGGCCTGTCCATCAAACGGCACCGTCACCGGCAATTAGATGAATTGCTACCATTGCGGAAAGTGGTCAAACTTAGAGTTGGACTCCGACTCCGACTTCGACTCCGAACTCCAAAGTCGAAAAACTTGGCGCGAGTGTGGAATCAGTATTATTGCTTTGGCTTACATAAAAGGCCATAAATTAGTCACTTAACCGCTTCAAGAGAGCTGCTCCTGTTTGATATATATAAGTATGGCCAGAAATGGCATTTGGCCGAATGCCAATACAGTTCTGGCCAGACAGTCAGACAGTCAGCCAACTATTCTGGCCAATCTAGCAATTCTTTAACAACAATTCAACAATCTATCACTGCCACTCAAAATGCTTTCTATCGTCAAGTCTCTAATGATCTCTGTAGCGCGTTTGCTCTAATTGACTGACAGCAGCCGCCGCCAATGGAGAGAGAGAGAGGGGTCTATATACGATAGACAGAGAGAGAGAGAGAGAGAGGGAGTGATCGGGAGTGATCAGACGCATTTCCACGGGATCGTTTGCAATTTCTGCAAACAATTAGTCCAAAGATCGTTTTTGGCTTTGCCAGCAATTAGTCTGTTATGTTTGAAACGAAACTAATCGAAACCTAAAAAAGAATCGAAACGATACCCCCCACCCACTATATTAGGGATGTGAGTGTGATTGATCGATTAATCGATTTTAGCTAGAAAGAATAAAATAAAATTAAGAAAGTTTAGGAAAAGAATATATAATCACATATTTAATGGAAAGTATCCTTATTTAAAAGTTTTTTATCAGAGCAATATATTTATTTATCGATTAATCAAATTATTGCATAAATTCCATTAATTGATTTACTAGAATTACAGAATAAATGGAAATTGAAATGGAAACCACATAATAATATTGAAATAATACCAAATAATAACTTAAACAATATTTCGATAACAACAACTTTCGATTATTAATTTATCTCGCAATCGATATATCTCTAACTCAAATATCGTTCATAATACCTTAAGAGAGAGTGTGTTATATATTTTGCACCCTCTACCATTCTTTGCCCCTTTCTCTTCTGTGTTATTAAAAACCCAACTGAACAATACAAATTCAACCGACTGTCCGCCTGTCAGCCTGATAATTATATAGTTTCTTGATCTATTTATAGACAAACACTTCAGAGCGTAAGACTGCTCTATTTATAACATTGCCTCTGCGGAAAGCGTCATTAGTGATTCCTAACGACAGACAGAAGAGCGCACAATTTCATACATTCCTATGCGTATTTATAAATATATATATATATATATGCTCATATATAATTTAAAAATTTGCAACAAATTATTGTTATTTTGATGTCTGCATTCATTCAGAAAAAAAACCAAAAGAAAAAAAAATCTGTTAGGAGCCGCGGCGGCAAATGATTAAGTCGAACGATGCGGATTTTTTGGTTCGATTTTAAGCAGCTTAAATGACCAAAAAGAAAAAAAAAAAGAATTGGCACTTAAAATTATATTAATGAGCTACCCAAAAATATTTCGACCATATATTCTCAATCGTTTCAACTTGAATTTAGGCAACTTTTCTCCCAATTTTTATGACTGTGAAACACGTTTCAGAAATAGAAAACAAATGCTTATCAAATACAAGTGAATGACATTTCGAGGAATATTTAAACAACTCATTAAATATATAGTAAGGCCTGAATCGAGTTCATTATGTTTATGATGGCAGTTTATGCTTAGCATTCGGAAAATTTATTCTAATGCAATCAAGATGATGATTTGATTGATTTCTTATGAAAAATGTGCATAACTTATAACGAAATAAATTCCAGAGAAATGGTTTTAGAAATTTAAGGCTATAAAAATCGTTGGATATTATTATATGTTACTTTTTTTTTATAGATTTAGTGAGAAGATAAATTAGGATATAATTAAGGGGGAATATTAATTTATATATTAAAAAGAAGTTTGGAGTTTTTCTTGAGCTTCATAAATTGTAATAGAAAATATTTGTTTTAATATTATTTGAGCCTGCCTTTGAGTTCTTGTAAAATATAATTATTTTAATATAATTTTACATAAATTTAGCTTGTAAATATTTGTTGGAAAATGATGTATAAATTATATATACATTTTTTTGTTTTTTTTTTATACATATCCTTTGTTTTCTCTACAATCCTTCTCCCTAAAAATAAACTGTAGGTAATTTCCTCGAGTCCAGTTAACCGAAACTTTTCAACAGATTATATATATTTTATTCATTGTCTTATATTTTGTTGTTGCTTTTCTTGGCCTGGCCTGCAGATTTTTGCAGTTCATTGGACTGAGTCAAAATCCAAGTGGCCTGTGTCTGTCTGCTGACTAAGTGAATGAGTCGTGGTTGCTGTTATTATTATGATTTTTTTGTATTTCTTACTTCTTCGACCTCAGCGGCGCATCAGCAGCGAGAAGAAAGAAATGTGGCCCGAACCAGGCAGGAAAAAAAATACAAATACAAATAAAAAAAGAGGAAAAAATACAAGACGAAAAACTTAACTTATAAGAGATAAATTAGCGCGATTTCCGAGATGCTTGACTTGGCTCGCACGCAACAACAACAACAACAAAAAAGCCAAGTTGAAAGTCATAATGACTAATGATTTAAATGTGGCCAGAAATTGTTTAACTCACTGATTAAAAAATATATACATATATATATATGTTGTATAAACAAGCCTTAGCTATGCGAATATATCAATTTGAGACCGGCATTTATTTTTAATTTGATTTTGATTGAAAAATTCCGCCTCAATTAAGGCGTTAATCAAAAATGTGAAGCATATTTTATGGCAAGCGTTAAACAGTTAACTAGCCAAAGTATGCAAATTATTTGATTGCAATTTAAATTATTTGCTAATTAAATGTGGAGCTATTTATAATGGGTATCTAAGGTATTTCTTGTTCTTGTTGATTTGATCGATGGTATTTATATATTTTTCAACAATAATTTATGAATTATGTTGGTTACAAAATACAAATTTAGCGAAATATCTTTGGAATATATAGAGAAATATTACTTAGTGTAACAAGGAATGAAGGAACTAATTAATAAATAGGATTCACAGATTTTATAATCATCAAAAAATATATATTTATATTTTATCAGTTAAGTCTTAAAAACAAAACATTGAAATCTACTGTAAATATTTAATCAATAAATAAATAAGAAAAAACTATTTTAAGATCATCTTAAAATATTTTCTTATTCTTGATCAGTAAAATCCAATATAAAATCATAATAATCTACATTGAAAATTATCTTGAAAGCACTAAATAAATAGGACCTAAAACCTGTATATTCCTCTAAAAATATATATAGATATATATCATTGAAATATATATAGATATATATCAAAGAAATATATATCAGTAAAATTAATCAATAAATCTATAACAAACATATATACTTTCTATTTAATTTAAACCTTATTAATCTTTAAACAACTTTAATGTTGGCTTCAATTGTAAATAATGAAATAAGAAAAGGAAAACCTTGCTATAACCATTTCCGTTGGCAATTTAAATAGATCTCTTTAGTATCTCTCCGCTGTGGCAATTAGAATCGAGAAATGATTTGACTTTGGCTTTTGATCTCGTTAGATGATATTCAATTTTAATTTCAGTTTCGGTTCAGTTTCAGTTTCGTGCGGGACGTGAGAGGAAACAGAAACCGTAACGAGAGGCACGCACAAAAAACAGGCAACTCCAAGACAAATTGTAGGCTCAACTACATTTATTTTCGGCATTTTTTGTATTTGTTGCTAGTTGGTAGCTTAGAAAATAATGAAGCAAACGATTGTCGGCCTTTTTGGCCTTGGCCTTGACGTCGGTTATTGGCAGCCATAAACTAAAAATTAAGCGAAACGTTAAGAGGGGGGTACAAAAAAAAACCACACATCTCTGCAAATTGCGTAAAGAGGTTTTTAATTGCCACCCCCCCTTCATCCACTCCCCTTCTATTAAACAAAGTTAAATTTCAGTTTAAAAGATACATAATAAAGTGTGAGAGACACTCATATATGCATAC